TCCAACAACCTTATAGATCTTATTACATTGGTAGCAATACTCCTCTTGACGATCCCGATTATTATTTGGATTGTTTATGTGAATTGGTAATCGTTTATCGTCGTGATATCGCCTGTGGTCCAGACTTTGGCATGCATGCGGACGAAGAGGTACAACTCATTCCATTATTTTTAAATACACACGGGTGGATAAAAGGAATAAGTATTGTACGTATCCTTTAACAATTATGTGTTAATATGATCTAATCTAGTAAAACTAAAATGTCCAGATTATCCACCCCCAGATCCTTCTGAATATGCATTTCAATTATACGATCTATCAATCCAGTTGCTCACACCTTTCATATTCTAACACCACCTCATATATAGAGTTACAGAAAACAAGTCTCACATGATTTTTTGAAAACAGTTGATACTGTCTAAATACATATTACTACTAAAATTTGAAAAACTTATTGAGACAATATCAATCAGAAATTTACTGGTCCGGTCTATTAACAGTTAACCGAATAACTTTATTACGCGTATATAACGATAAAATATATATATCGATATAAACAATTGACCAGTACTAATCTCTTGGACTGGGTCGGTCAAATTGGCCAGATCAAAGATGAATTATTATTTTTTTTTTCTTTTTTTTTTCAGTGTTAAGGTGACCTCTTTGGTCTTTTGACTTTTTATTAATACTTATGTTAGGCACATGTTCATGTTTATATTAAACTATCAAATGAGTGTACAACTGGTTACATGTGTAACTTTTCTATATTACCTATTTAAGGAGTTCACCTAGAGGTTCCTTACCAGTTGCTGTACTTAATGCTTCTGTTTAGATGTTCCATTTAAACCCTCTGATCTGACTCTGGTATTAACTTTACCAGTCACTTGACCTAGATCCTTTCATCTCAATTTTAAGATTATAATTTTTAAATTATTTTTATCTTTGAGATAAACCTATCAGAATGAGTTGTATTCTTTTTTACTACTAACCTGGTTAACACTATGATCAAAACCAATATTTGTAGACAGAGTTATTCATTAAATCATTTTTACTTTTATAAAATTCACTCAAATCTTGGTACTTATCTTTCTGATGTCTTTTTTATCATCTCATATTAACTGTAATTTAGAATTAACAGACTCTTCAAACTTTTAATCTAGATGATTCAGTATAATATACTTATAGTATGTATCCTTTTCCTCTATCAATTCTGACAATCTAGTTGGTCATATGTTTCTCTATACATCTTATTATCTGATTTATCTGACAATTTCTATAAAGGTTTTTCATGGGTTTTCATCAGTTTAACAATATTATCAAAAGTTTGTTTTATCTCTTTATTCAGGATTTCCAAGTGGACTCAGTTTTTTAGTCTTCTATATTTAGTGATCTTATTATAAGTTTGCATTGAAGTCTTATATGATATTGATTTTTTTACATTTTTCAATATATATGTAACATTACAATTTGCATAGATGCTCTAAGTTTTCAAAATCAGTTGGGTCTTAACTTGGTATATCTAAGTTTACAGATACATAAATCCAACTGATTGACAAGAGACAGTTATCATAATATAGATATAATTTTCAAAATTTATTATCTATAAAAATTGAATCTTAGATTTATTACTTGAAGGTTAATAATCTATTTACTTTATTAGATTATCACATTTCAGATAAATTTTTTTTTTTTTAATATTAAAATGACCTTTTTGGTCTTTTAACTTTTATTAACAATTTATTAGTAATACAATTCTATGAACCACTATATGAGAAAGTACAATTGGCTACATATAATTTTTCTATATTACTTATTTAAAGAGTCTGCTTAAAAGTTTTTTACTAATTATTATATCTAACACTTCTGCTTGAATATTCTATTTTAAATTCTTTGAACCTATAATCTGTATTAATTTAGTGGATTATATCCAAATACCCAGATTATCATTTCAATTTTAGAACTAATTTATCCTTAATATAAACCTTTTAGAGTCTTTTGTATTTATTTTTATAACTGATCTAAGTATCACTATAGTAAAACTAACACTTGTTATCAGAATTATATTATTTAACTGTTATGTCTTTGTAAAGTTTACACAAATCTCAGCATCTATTTCATAATATAATTTCAGTACTTTAATAAAATTTACTAAAAACTAGCAAATTGTAGTAAATTTTAATATCATGAGTGCTGAGTAAAAAATCTTTTATTTAAAGAAAAATAAAATAAATAAAAATAAACAAAAATAAAAAATAAATATTTAAAAATAGAATTTAAATTCAATAGCCTCCTAGATACTATAAGGATTTTTATGATAG